TCATAAACTATGAACCAAAAAAGCACAATCTATCCCGAGTGAGACAAACTGCTTGATCCCCGTCTCCAGTGTACCAGCAGAGAACCTGCAGAACCGAATCAGTGAAAAAACACAGCGGGCTACACAGCCTCTCTACCTGAGCAGCTGAAGCTGCGGCTCACACCCTCGACACACAGACACACAGACGGTGCTTCTGCATGCCAGCCACACGTGTGCACAACTGTGAGAAATAAATATGTGAGGTGTACGCTGCTTTTCTATCTTTTTTTCCCTTTTCTTTCTTTCTTTCTGTCAGCGACACACACTCCTAACACAGAACGGGTTGTTTTAATTGACTGAGTTGATCATTAAGCCATAGTGATGCACGGATCGGCTCTGATAGCACCCGAATCAGCATGTACGCATCAACCATCCAGCCGTTACAACATGATTGAGCTAGCAAAGCAGTTTTGTGTTGCTATGTGTGGTATTTATTCAGTTTTGGGAAATCACGATGTCTAGAAAGCATCAGTGGCTGCAGCTGACAGGGACAGCTAACGTTAACACTAGCAGCAAAGCTAACAGGACGTCATCCGTTAAAAGCCTCCCGTTGTCGGATACGACATGAAACTACTCCAATTAGCTCAATCATGTTGTAACTAAGACATCTGCTGGAAAAAATATTTTTTTCACGGGCCACTTTGTGAGTTTAGTGAGTTATTACAGACACGGCTAACGGCTAACAGCTAACGGTTAGCACAGCTAATCTACGATAACCATGTTATTAATTACACAGAGAAAATACTAATGTTTGTTCAGTCATTGTGTTTATAGACTTTACAAACATCAGATTAGTCTAAGCGGTGATATAGTGACGTGAAAAATGTGATATATACATATATATAGCTAAACTCAGCAAGGTAAACAACAAGGCGACTCCCATTTACACAGTGGTAAGAGTGCTGGACCGGAAGTGTCGCATAAAAAAACGGAAGCTGGCTGCGTTCTGTTTTGCCTCCGTGTTTCCGTGAAAAATAAGGTGGATAGGGCAAGTAAAAACCGACTTCGGGCAAGTAGATCTCTGACCAACTTGCCCGACCGGGCAAGTGAATAAAAACCTTAGCGTTGAACCCTGTCATATGATGCTAAGAGTCAGTCATATGATGGTAACACTTAGCCCTATGATGCTAACAGTTAGCTGCATAATGCTAAGCAGGATCAGTGAAAACTAAGTTTGTTCAGCTTGAGATGAAACTCTGAGTTTTCCGTTTCACAAAGCCAGTTCAGTGTAACTCTTAGTCAGTTACGGTGATGCGGTGATGTTACCACCCACCCCTGGGTCGTTCAGACCACAATGTCATTGTTTTACTCCCACAATACAGGCAGAAATTGAAAACAGAAAAAATCCAGAACAAAATCATTAAAACATGGGACAATGACTCTATTGAAGCTCTCAGGGGCTGCATAGAATCGACTGATTGGGATGTGTTTTTCATAAACAACAACTCTGATCTGAACTTGTTAAATGACTCAATCTCCTCCTATCTGACTTTTTGTGCTGATTATGCCATTCCATCTAAGCAGGTTAGACTGTACCCCAGCAACAAACCCTGGGTTACAAAAGACCTGAAAACATGCCTAAATAAAAAGAAACTGGCATTTTTAAATGGTGACAGGCAACGAGTAAATGAGTTAGAGAAAGAGTTCAGACAGAAATCGGGGGAGCAAAAATCCACTACAAGAACAAAGTGGAGGGGAAATTTACAACAGGGAATGTCAGGGAGGCCTGGCAAGGGCTCAATGCCATGATGGGCAGACAGCAGTTAAACCTGCCCATATCAAATGCCCTGAAATCCCACCTCATCTACAGCAGGTTTGATAACACTCGGCACCCGTTGAGAGATGAGACCCCCAGCACTCCAAGCCCCCCACACATCAGTCACAGTTGAGAAAAATAAAGTGGTCCACTTTCTGTCCAGAGTGAACCCAAGGAAATCATCAGGCCCAGACAACCTAAATGGTCGATTTCTGAGGGAATGTGCCACTCAACTCGGGGATGTCATGGCCCAGCTCTTCCAGCTGCTGTTGGACTCTGGTTCTGTTCCTCATACACGGAAAGAATCCACCATCATTCCAATACCTAAGAGCACAAAAGCTACGGTCCCTAAAGATTATAAACCAGTGGCACTAACATCTGTTCTATGCAAGTGCATGGAACAGATGATATGTGACCTTCTGACCTCCTCAGTTTCAGACAAACTGGACCCACTCCAGTTTGCATATAAAGCAAAGCGAGGGGTGGAAGACACCTGCCTGACACTTTTGGACACTGTTACTAAAAACATGGACCACTCTCACTCATGTTCCAGGATTTTGTTTATGGACTTCTGCTCAGCTTTTAACACAGTCAACATCAACGCCTTATCAGACCGCCTCACTGAACTACAGGTCAACTTAACACTGGTTAAATGAATCAGAGACTTTTTACAGGACAGATCACAACATGTAATGGTCAATGGAAAAAGATCCACCAACACTGTCATAAACACAGGGGTCCCACAAGGCTGTGTCTTATCTCCCATCCTGTTTTCCATCTACACAAACAAAATAACCTGCAACATGGACAATATGACACTTTTCAAATACACTGATGACATGGCCTTGGTAGCTCACCTGATGGACTCTAACAGCCTAACAGCGTATCACCAGCAGGTAGCTTCAATTGTCACTGTTACTGAGGAGAGCGTCTTAGAGCTTAACATCTCTATGACTAAGGAGCTGTGCTGCTGCAGGAGAGTGACACCTGGTGACTCCGCCCACACACTACTGCAGCCACTGATGATCAAAGGGCAGGAGGTGGAGCAGGTGGAGCCCTTTAGGTACTTGGGCATTGAGGTGGACAGAACATGGTCCTTCTCTGTTCATTCTGAACAAATCTACAAAAAGGCACAACAACGGCTCTTTTTGCTGAGGACACTGAGGAGTTTTAATTTTGTCTACAGATCACTCATTGGATCAGTTCTCACTTAAAACATCTCATCCTGGTACACATCTTTCTGTAAAGGACAAATCCAAAGTGTCACAGGTCATCAAACATGCAAGTAAAGCAACAGGCATCACACAGTTCTCTCTCTCAGACCTCCACATTCAGGCAGTCAGACTGAAAGCCACCACCATCATACACGACCCTTCACATCCGCTCCACAACTCATTTCAACTCCTTCTTTCAGGCCATAGATACAGGGTCCCTCGAGCAAGAACAAACTTAGTCAAAAAATCATTCATGATGGGCAGCTAGTAGCGCTAGCAAAACGTCAGCAATATGGAACTTTTATACACTGGAAGGTGAAGGCAGCACAACAGCCACTTGTAAAATGTGCAAGTCTAGCGTTTCATGAGGGGGAAAAGACAGAGCTCATTTCAACACAACCAATTTGATATGCCATCTGGAAAGGAAACATCCATCACAGCATGCCGAGTTCGAGGCAGCAAGTAAAAAAAACAGAAAAAAAAACCCAGAACCAACCAACATTGGCGGAGGCTTTGAAAAGGATAGAGAAATTTCCCTAGGACCACAATGAAGCCAAAAAGATCACAGCCAAGATAAACAGACCTTATGGGACAACTTGGATGCATTCTTTTTTTTCTTTCTTAATGCTTTGCAAAGTATCGGATCGGACTCGGTTTCAAAATGAAGGATCGGATGCAAAAAAAATGTGATCGGGACATCCCTAGCACCCGTAACATATGCTCAGTTTGCTTCAGTCATTTATTCATTTGAACGTTGTTGTATTGCCTGCCTTTAGTAATATCATTAATTAAAGATTATTTTTATGGGCTTTTTGCCTTTATTGACAGGACAGAGAGTGAAATGGGGAGACAGAGAGAGAGAGTGGGGACTGACACGCAGCAAAGAGCTGCGAGCCGGATTCGAACCTGCAGCCACTGCAGCGAGGCGATGCCTCTGTGCATGGGGCGCCGGCACTATCCACTACCACTTAGTTTCAGTTTGTGGCTGGTAGCCTATATTCCTTTTTTAATTCACTTCGCTCCTTAGTAAATTAAACAATATCTCTCAATGTGTTGTCCACGTTTATATATTCTGCATGAACCAACACGGTGAGAACAAATGGGGCGCATTATCTAAGATGCACTTTTTGTAGTCCATCTTCAGAACATTGTAGTTTCACCACAGCAGACCTACATCAAGACAGCTGCGTTCAGAGGGCTCGGAGGTTTCTGAGGACCTGGCGTGAAAAGCCCGGAAAAACCCCTACTTCCAGAAAAAGTGCGTTCATCGCCTCACATTGGACCTTGGACGTAAACAAATACAGCTGTACAAGGCTATCTCTGCTGTAGCCCAGTGGAGCTGGGCTGATGTTGTTAGCCTTTTTGGCTAAATGAGGAGGTCGAAGACATTTTGCTAACATGTGGTGTTGGCAATGTTCCTAATTCTACGCATAATTATACACGGAATATTCAAATTACATGGAGCAGTGGAGAATTTGCTTAAAGATGTCTTTGAGATGCATTTTTTTTACCTAAGAAAAATAATTTGACTCGCTGGTAGCAAAGGGGGCCGCCATTGCTCTGAAGTCATGCCACATCAACTCGGGGTCCTCAGGTTGCTACACTTCAGCAGTGAAAAATTCCGCTCCGACCACGTGTTCAAAGCACTTTTCCCCACGAGTTAATGGTCGAGACCTCAGAACCTCCGACCTTATGAATGCCGCTCAACATCCACCGTGCATCATTACGTGGCCCAGTGTAAGTGCAGTCGGATTCTCTCAGCACCTTAGGAGTTCTCCTTCACATGTTCCCTTGACCTCGTGACGTTTTCCTTCGAGCTCAAGGGGAAATGGTTAGGAAAAGACGATAGTAGGGACTTTTCGACCGCAGCCATGTGTCTAACCAATGACGTCACAGAGTGTCTAACCAATGACGTCACAGCGTGTCTAACCAATGACGTCACAGTGTTTCATCTAAACTGAGTCGAGTTGTTTTATTAAAGGTTCTGTTTATTTTACTGAAAAACAAACAACTGTTGTTTTTGTTTAAGTGTCAACAGCAGTGACGTCAGTTACAACACAACACACTGTTCAAGACGCGCTCTGATAGAATGAAGTCAGACTAGAAGCTAGCTAAGCTAACTCGTTAGCCACTGTTAGCTGCTGTTCTTACCGGGCTCTGTTCCGGCTGCTCCGGTCCGTCCTGTTCCAGCCAGTCCCGGCCTCCCTCACTGCGGTGGGCTCCCATGGTAGAACCGCTGCTCACCCGGTCCGGTCCGATCCGGGACCAACCGAGTTAACTCCGTTCGGATGAGCTCGGCTAGGCTAACAGCAGCTAAAGCTAACAGCGGCAGCGAATGTTAGCGGTTTGATCTCCGGTTTGTTCCCGTGGATCACCGCGCTGACAGACACCGGGAGGCTCAGAGAGCTTTACTGAGCAACTGAAAATCGATAACAAACACGGACTGATATCAGAGACTATTGATAAACCTCTTTGTTTCCAGGAAGTTACACCCCTTCTTCCGCTAATGTAAAGCTTCCGGTCATTAATTTCAAAATAAAGGCACCCTCCCTGCAGAGCCAAAGATCCGGGTCCTTTTTCAGAAAGATCAGTGAAACTCTGAGTTTGTTCAGCCTGAGATGAAACCCTGAGTCAGTTACTATGGCAACATACTCTGTGAAGCTAACCTGCTGAGTCACAGGTTTGCTTCATGTCAGCCTGAGGCTGAGCGTGTAACAGGAAGTAGAAACATGGTGTGTCCTTTAGTGAATGAAGTGGTGGAGGTTGAGGCCCAGTGTATTCAGAGGCTGTTGTGTAAGGAGAAGGTGATTAGAGCCTGTTTGGATGTCTCCCTGGAGGAGTGTCTATATGAAAGATACTGTTTGACCTCACACTCTATCATTTATCTAACAATCTGTTCCACCCACATATATCACATATTACACATCCTGGATTTACATTATCATCACAGCACATTTTATGCATTGTCCTTTGATTCTTTTCTTTATAACATCAGAGACACTGAACACATCAGAGAGACAGTGGTTTGTCGGCCCGTAAGAAAAGTGTCTCTGGCTCTGAAAAGACTTTGGACCCTTGTTGTGGTTTTCCCTGGACATAAATCACAATCCATTATTAAAGTAATTACCACGGAGCATCGGTGGCTCAGTGGATGGAGCAGACGCTCAGCTCCTGATGCAGCGGCCGCGGGTTCAAACCCAGCCTGCTGTCCTGTGCTACATGTCGTTCCCTCTCTCCCCATAACGTTATGCTGTCCTGACATTAAAGGCAACAAAAGCCCAAAAATAATGTTTAAAAAAAGAACTGCAGGTTTGTCAGTGTTGATGAGAAATGAATCTACGTGGACACATGATGCAGTGATTCATTAATACTTTTCATATATTCAAAGACTCTACGGTGTAACTGGCTCATTGATGGGACTCAACATCCCATAATAGCTCCATGTGAGAATAAAGGAGATTACATGAAGTCATTTCACAGCAGTTAAATGAACCTCAGCCTAATATTGACAGAATGAAGTCAGTAGAAACAAAACTTTTACCAGTCTGTTTAATATCTGTGTGTTTGATGTTGAGTTTGTGCCCAGTGTGTTTGGGCTCCATCACATGACAGCTGAATAACTTATATTCAAATATATGAACACTGTTAAGATAGAAACATGTTTCTGTATGTTAGACACATGACCTCATCACATGACATAACATCACTTCACATATGAACACGCTCTGCAGGCTGTTCCCATCACACCTCTCTCTGATCAGCTGATGGAGCACATTGATTTTTCATGTCTTCAAATCTCTGATTCAGTTTTGGATGAAATCAGTGGCTCTGCTTTTAACTCCACTTCCTGTCTCTGAGGATCACGTTATCTGCAATCTACTGATGATGTCTGTTGGTGCTCACTGTGAACCAGCTTCCCTCAGGCTGAACAGACTCAGAGTTTCTCAGCTCAGGCTCAGTCAGCTCAGAGATCAGGATCAGAGTTTGTTGAGCCTGCTTTCTGAGATAGGGCCCTGGTTTCATTGTTATTATCAGTATTGATTAGTATGAGACAGGAAACTGTTGAATGAGTCTGTGGGAGTGTTTGAACGTTACGGTCAACAACAAGTCAGTGGTTCCTACTGCGTCTCTGAAACTTTGACCAAACTGGATCAGAAACATTATTCATTGTACACATTTTGTTCAGTTTATAAAATAAAGAGGTAGAATTACATATTATTATGTATTATCATTATTATGATTTGAATTTGAGTATTTTGTTATATGCTGATGATAATGTTTTAGTTGCTGAAAATGAGATTAATTTACAAAAAATGCTGAATATTATGATTTTATGGTGTGGTAAATGGCAACTTGCCATCAACAGTGATAAAACTCAGATTATGTATTTTAGAAGACCTTGTGAGCAGCAGAGCAACCACATATTTCAGTTTGGATTAAGGCCCTGAAAGTATGTTACTTCATATAAATATCTTGGTCTTGTTTTTAATGAAAATATGACCCTCTCCGATGGAAGAAAATCATTGGCGTTGAGTCAGCAGGCAGCAGGGAGAGCTTTAGGGTCTGTAATGTGTTAAATGAAAGTGTGCCTTGACCTTGTTTTTTTTACATTTTCAAAACTTTATGATTCAGTGGTTGGCTCAGTTTTATTTTATGCAGCAGGCGTGTGGGGTTTTAAAGATAGCCCTGACAGTAATGCTATTCAGACTCGAGCCATGAGGTGCTTTCTAGGGGTTCACACATATACTGCTAAAGGGGGTAATATTGTGAAAATTAGGCCTATCCTGACCCGAAAAGATGCAGAAAAATTGGTCCACGCTTTTGTTACCTCAAGGCTGGATTACTGTAACTCTCTATTATCAGGTAGCTCTAGTAAGTCCTTAAAAACTCTCCAGCTAATTCAGAATGCAGCAGCACGTGTACTAACAGGAACTAAGAAACGAGATCATATTTCTCCTGTTTTAGCTTCTCTGCACTGGCTCCCTGTAAAATCCAGAATTGAATTTAAAATCCTACTGTTAACTTATAAAGCTCTAAATGGTCAAGCTCCGTCATATCTTAGAGAGCTCATAGTGCCATATTATCCCACCAGAACACTGCGCTCTGAGAACGCAGGGTTACTCGTGGTCCCTAAAGTCTCCAAAAGTAGATCAGGAGCCAGAGCCTTCAGCTATCAGGCTCCTCTCCTGTGGAATCATCTTCCTGTTACGGTCCGGGAGGCAGACACCGTCTCCACATTTAAGACTAGACTTAAGACTTTCCTCTTTGATAAAGCTTATAGTTAGGGCTGGCTCAGGCTTGCCCTGTACCAGCCCCTAGTTAGGCTGACTTAGGCCTAGTCTGCCGGAGGACCCCCTATAATACACCGGGCTCCCTCTCTCTCCCTCTCTCTCTCTCTCTCTCTCTCTCTCTCTCTCTCTCTCTCTCTCTCTCTCTCTCACTCTCATCCTATTACTGCATCTTGCTAACTCGGCCATTCTGGATGTCACTAACTCGGCTTCTTCTCCGGAGCCTTTGTGCTCCACTGTCTCTCAGAATAACTCATACCGCAGCGGTGCCTGGACAGTGTGACGTGTGTGGTTGTGCTGCTGCCGTGGTCCTGCCAGATGCCTCCTGCTGCTGCTGCCATCATTAGTCATTAGTCATACTTCTACTGTTATTATACACATATGACTATTGTCACACAAGTATACTGTCAGATATTAATACATACTTTCAACATATTGTACCACAGTAGCCAGAACTATAACTATAATATTATTACTTTCATTAATGTTGTTGTAAGCTACTGTCATTACCTGCATCTCTCTCTCTCTCTCTCTCTCTCTCTCTCTCTCTCTCTCTCTCACTCTCATCCTATTACTGCATCTTGCTAACTCGGCCATTCTGGATGTCACTAACTCGGCTTCTTCTCCGGAGCCTTTGTGCTCCACTGTCTCTCAGAATAACTCATACCGCAGCGGTGCCTGGACAGTGTGACGTGTGTGGTTGTGCTGCTGCCGTGGTCCTGCCAGATGCCTCCTGCTGCTGCTGCCATCATTAGTCATTAGTCATACTTCTACTGTTATTATACACATATGACTATTGTCACACAAGTATACTGTCTGATATTAATACATACTTTCAACATATTGTACCACAGTAGCCAGAACTATAACTATAATATTATTACTTTCATTAATGTTGTTGTAAGCTACTGTCATTACCTGCATCTCTCTCTCTCTCTCTCTCTCTCTCTCTCTCTCTCTCTCTCTCACTCTCATCCTATTACTGCATCTTGCTAACTCGGCCATTCTGGATGTCACTAACTCGGCTTCTTCTCCGGAGCCTTTGTGCTCCACTGTCTCTCAGAATAACTCATACCGCAGCGGTGCCTGGACAGTGTGACGTGTGTGGTTGTGCTGCTGCCGTGGTCCTGCCAGATGCCTCCTGCTGCTGCTGCCATCATTAGTCATTAGTCATACTTCTACTGTTATTATACACATATGACTATTGTCACACAAGTATACTGTCTGATATTAATACATACTTTCAACATATTGTACCACAGTAGCCAGAACTATAACTATAATATTATTACTTTCATTAATGTTGTTGTAAGCTACTGTCATTACCTGCATCTCTCTCTCTCTCTCTCTCTCTCTCTCTCTCTCTCTCTCTCTCTCATTGTGTCATATGGATTACTGTTAATTTATTATGCTGATCTGTTCTGTACGACATCTATTGCACGTCTGTCCGTCCTGGAAGAGGGATCCCTCCTCAGTTGCTCTTCCTGAGGTTTCTACCATTTTTTTCCCCGTTAAAGGGGTTTTTTTGGGGAGTTTTTCCTGATCAGCTGTGAGGGTCATAAGGACAGAGGGATGTCGTATGCTGTAAAGCCCTGTGAGGCAAATTGTGATTTGTGATATTGGGCTTTATAAATAAAATTGATTGATTGATATTATTTTTGTTTTCTTATTTAAATGATATATTTAGGTACAATTTGTAGATTCACAATGAACAATGGAAAGATGAGATCTGGTCTAAACCAAAGCTCAGAAACTACGTTCATATCAAAGTGGGGTTCCACACAGAACATTATGTAACTTTTGATTTGAAGAGGGGACAGAGGTCCCTTTGTGCCCAGTTAAGAACTGGTACCCTTCCTCTGGCTATTGAAGTGGGCAGATATAAATGTATCCCGGAGGAGCAACGTATATGTGTTCTTTGAATATCATTTTCTGTTTCATTGCTTTTTATACTGTGATTTAAGAAATCATCTGTTTGACAAAATCCTGATTTATTTTGGTTGTCCAAAGGTGAGATGTTGCGTTGGCTTTTTGATGAGGAGACCTTTGCCTTGGCAAGATTTATAGAACGTTTGGAACTTAAGGCAGAGAATGTTGTACCCAACATAATAAGATGTTTATGTTATGGAATTTGGCCGTTCTGAAATGCTTGCTTTTCCTTTTGTGGACTTCTTGTTATTGATCTCTCACGTGGCCACCCAGGCTGTTATTCTGTTTAGTGTCTTGTAAGCTCGTATGGGCTGGACACCACTTGGTGCATGACACTTATTTTAAGTCTATAATACACACAGGTGTAACACACAGCTTTATTAAACAGGCGTAATAAGTTTAATTCTGCTCTTCTTCAAATACTGATGTTTGTATATATTCTGCTGTCATGTAAAGATCAGATGATGACATGTTCATAGACTGAATCTTTGTGTGTCGGAGACATTTCCTGTGTGTCTGCAGGTGTGTGAATGTTCCAGTGAGACAGAGACCAGGTAGACACTGAGACTGGTTGGATATATTTTTACTGGGAGAGTGATGCTGCAGTTTGTCTGCAGGCAGGATGAAGAACAGACTGTATTTACATTCTCCAGCTGTGAGGACCCCACCACAAACATGGCCGATTCTGCGTCGCTGCTCAGCAGCGTCACTCCGCGGCATCACTCGCTCTGCATCACTTGCTCTGCAGCATCACTCTGACTTGAGTGTTAAATGTTTTCAGTGATGAGACGCTGGAAGCTGAGAAGTCTGGAGGAGCTACGTCAGCTCTGTACTTAAGAATCATTCCAACTGTTTTTGGAATTCTGAGACAAAACTCTGTAGTTATTAAAATCACTGAGGTTCTCCTCGTTACCATGACAACAGGCAATCTTTTTTTTTCTTGATTTAAAAACGCCTGGACAGAAATCACAAGGATCAGAAACAAAGTTCCAGACGAACGTGGTGGAGCAGTTTTAATTAAGCTCTTTGTGTGTGCTGGACTGATCCAGATTTTATTCTCTGAAAATCACAGCTTGACTTTTCTTAATTTGATGAGACGTAACGAGCAGAAAACTGTTTGTCCAATTATCAGAAACACGCTCTGTCCAAACTGTGAGACGTCTTTAACGACAGGTCCCTCAGTTTGTTTTCTTTGGTCCCTGGAACGCAGTTTTACAGGAACACCAAAGTGATTCTGGCTTCACACTGACATTAAAGGGACAGTCCAACATTAGCCTAGCTTAGCATAAAGACTGGAAGAACCCCTCCGGATTAACTGTGAACACAACATCCCAAAATGTTGGACTGCTCCTTTAAAGAAAATTAAAAAAACTGAGGAAACAGTGCGGGTGACACGGCGACAAAGACACAGCGAGGAAGACTTGGCAACGAAGATGCAGTGACGAAGATGCAGCGACAAAGACTCGGCCTGATGAACACAAACATGTGTCATGCACAACAGAAAGAATAAAAAACAGAGAGTTAATGAAAAGAGCAGATTATAAAAAGGAGGTGGAGTTTCCTGCTGGGTGGAGGCGCTCACACTTCGACCTTTAAACATAGCAGATATAGATTTTCTTAATAACACTTTGGTTTAGTCAGAAACAAACAATGTGAAGAATCAAACACATCTCTTCTTAAAAAAGGTTAAATTAAATCAAACATTTCTTTTTTGAATCCGTTAAACAGCAGATGAAGAAAAAATAACAACAGACTTCATTTCAGTTTAACTGTACATTATCTACACACAGAGACACGCCCCATTGGACCACTCATCAGCCAATCACAGGACAGACAGACAGGCGGACAGGCGGCTAGACACTGAGTCCACTTCATGTTCACCAAAGAAACTCAAACTGAGTTTGACTCAATTAAGTCACTTTATGGAAAAATAAAAAACATAAAAAGACGTAAAAGTTTCAGAGAAGTCGGGTTTTTTTCCTTCTTTTTTAAAGTTTAGAAAAAGTTTTAACACGAAAAACGATGTTGGTAAGAAGCTCCGCCCACTGCCCAACACACCTGTCACCTCTCATCACTTCCTGTTTAACAATGACACCACAGGAAGTCTGATGGGACCTCGCAGGAGACACCTGTCCTCCCCGACCAGTCCTGAGTCCCAGTCCTGAGTCCCAGTCCTGAGTCCAAGTCCTGAGTCTCAGTCCCGAGTCCCAGTCCTGAATCCCAGTCCTGTAAACCACTCCCGAGTCCCAGTCTGAATCCCAGCCCTAAATCCCGATGTGAGTCCCAGTCTGAGTCATAGTCTGAATCCCAGTCCTAAATCCCAGTCCCCAGTCCAAGTCTCAGTCAGTCCCTGTCCTGAGTCTCGGTCCCGAGTCCCAGTCTGAATCCCAGTCCTGAGCCCCGGTCCCGAGTCCCAGTCTGAGTCCCAGTCCTGAGCCCCAGTCTGAGCCCCAGGCCTGAGTCCCAGTCCTGAGTCCCAGTCTGGCTCTGCCCCCTCCACCAGTAAATATGACGTGACTGCGAGCGCCTGCAGAAGACTCAGTTTCCCATGATACACTGCAAACTGAGCAGGTTCCTCCTCTTAAGGACGCACACTGATTGGCCTGGCCATCCCGAGGAGGCGGGGCCTGACCAACTCAATAGAGAAAGACGGGTCAAATAGAAACGATAGCTGCCTTGTCAACCAACCACCGAGCCCCGTCGGTGTGGGGACCAATCAGAAGTCCTCCAGTGACATCACAGATGACATCACAGGTAAAGGAAAAGTTTTTATTGCTGGAGCTCCAATGTTGCTGCTCGCTGATCAACTCCTCTTCTTATTGGCTGTGGTGCCTGTTGCTATGCAACAGGAGCAGTCACACCTGGACATGAATCAGCTGCAGGTGAAAAGGAAGCTCCAAACGCTGTGATGTCAGAGCTTCCACCAATTAAGAGGAGTCGATGTGAGGAGGGACGGTGAAGGCCAACAGAAAGGATTAACTGTGGTCTCACCCCCTGCTGGCTGTGGCTGAACGGCATTGTGGGTATGTTGACAGAAGCTGAGGGTGTGCTACAGGTGCTGGTGAGGGACATTCTCAACAGACGAGACGATGATCAAACAAACTAACACTGAAAAACAGAGAAACTTTAAACAGCTGAGGGTCACACAACCAGCCCCGCCCCTCTACACCGCGGCCATCTTGTCTCGTGGACTGCTACTGCTGCTGCTGCTACTGTTGTTGTTATTGTTATCGTCATGGCCTGCTGGTGACATCACAGCACTCTGCGTCCTATCAGCGGGCTTGGGGGTGGAGTCTCTGTCTCCAGGTGTGGTGTGGGCGGGTCCGGGGGAGGACATGGAGGAGGGGCGGGAGGGGGAAGGGCGGTACGCTGCCATTAGTTCCGCCACACGCTCTGGAGTCGGCGCCCACTTCACAAAACCAGCATCGTTCTGAAGGAAGAGTACCGCAGTACCGTGGACGGCCCGGTAATACATCTCATCTCTGAAAAACACACAGATACACAGGTTGCTGTAGCACTGAGGAGTACCGCTGTAGCACTGAGGAGTACTGCTGTAGTACTGAGGAGTACTGCTGTAGCACTGAGGAGTACCGCTGTAGCACTGAGGAGTACTGCTGTAGTACTGAGGAGTACTGCTGTAGCACTGAGGAGTACTGCTGTAGTACTGAGGAGTACTGCTGTAGCACTGAGGAGTACTGCTGTAGTACTGAGGAGTACTGCTGTAGTACTGAGGAGTACTGCTGTAGTACTGAGGAGTACTGCTGTAGTACTGAGGAGTACTGCTGTAGTACTGAGGAGTACTGCTGTAGTACTGAGGAGTACTGCTGTAGTACTGAGGAGTACTGCTGTAGTACTGAGGAGTACTGCTGTAGTACTGAGGAGTACTGCTGTAGTACTGAGGAGTACTGCTGTAGTACTGAGGAGTACTGCTGTAGTACTGAGGAGTACTGCTGTAGTACTGAGGAGTACTGCTGTAGTACTGAGGAGTACTGCTGTAGTACTGAGGAGTACTGCTGTAGTACTGAGGAGTACTGCTGTAGTACTGAGGAGTACTGCTGTAGTACTGAGGAGTACTGCTGTAGTACTGAGGAGTACTGCTGTAGTACTGAGGAGTACTGCTGTAGTACTGAGGAGTACTGCTGTAGTACTGAGGAGTACCGCTGTAGTACTGAGGAGTACTGCTGTAGTACTGAGGAGTACCGCTGTAGCACTGAGGAGTACCGCTGTAGCACTGAGGAGTACTGCTGTAGTACTGAGGAGTACTGCTGTAGCACTGAGGAGTACTGCTGTAGTACTGAGGAGTACTGCTGTAGCACTGAGGAGTACTGCTGTAGCACTGAGGAGTACTGCTGTAGTACTGAGGAGTACTACTGTAGCACTGAAGAGTACTACTGTAGTACTGAAGAGTACTACTGTAGCACTGAAGAGTATTACTGTAACACTGAGAAGTACTGCTGTAGCGCTGAGAAGTACTGCTGTAATACTGAAGAGTACCACTGTAGCACTGACGAGAACTACTGTAACACTGAGAAGTACTACTGTAAGCACTATACAAGTAGTATCGGTGTTGTGTCGGTGTAGTATTAGTACCTCTTGCAGATGTGCTGGCTCCCAGAGCGATACTCGTGTTCGTAAGCGGGGACACTCAGCTGGTGACGGAGGAATCGACTTCCCTCCATGCGGGTCAGAGCCGGGGTCACAGGGTCACGCCACTCAGGGACGAAGACGATGAAGGACAGAGGCTCAGAGGACTTGTCCAACAGCTCCTGGCAGACGGAGACAGACCACAAAATGTAGACCTCCATTTACTAGACCAGCACACACATGTACAGCCCAGTTTACACCCCTGCAGTCCCATTTAGACCAGTACAGCCAGAGTTAGACCAGTACAACCCATGAGTTACACTTGGACAGCCCATGGGTTAGACCCATACAGCCCAGATTAGACCCATAGAACCCAGGTTTAGATCGGTACTGCCCAGGTTAGACCGGTACAGTCCATGGGTTACACCCCTACAGCCCAGGTTTAGACCTGTACAGCCCGTGGGTTAGACGAAAGATGACCATCGTGGGAGAAACGTGGCGATATCTTTGGTCGTGGCTCTAAAACGGTGGTCTTACACCGAACTGTGAGACAGGTTCAAGGACTGCTATTGTCAACGTCTTGCGACCAAAGATAACCTGAGATAAAATTCTGACAGTGTCAGAAATTTAGGATGACTATCTCACAGCGTGACAGCTGCTACAACCTACATCTACTAATCAACCAATAGAAATGCAGCACGAAATGACGCAATGGTCACCGCGACACCGGCGCTAAACCCAAACAAATGATCACTTGCCATGGAGGTAAAATGAACAAAAAGAAGTTTCTGGAACTCCCAGAAAGAGGAAAGTTTGGTGGAGCTGTGGCAGCAGAAGCCTTGTTGATTTGATGTTTCCTCCAGCTGCTATCATGACTGCCAGAAAAAAGACGCTGCATGGAAGGAAACTGCGGAGGAACTGCAACTTCCAGGTGAGCAGGCTACCTATGGTGGCGCAGATGGATGACATACGCTAATGCGGTGCACGCTGATGATGTTGCATATTGACGTACGTCGTAACCTGCGATTCAGTAGTAAACGGCCATCGTACAATCTGCACACATCAAACTTGACGTCGTACCAAAGTTTATTAGATCCACGTCTCACAGTGTGTCACGCAATAGTCTTATAAGATTGCTAAAATCGCACAGTGTATAGAGGGCATAAGGCTGTGCAATTAATCATCTGGTGATTGCGATTACGGTTTCTACAGAAGACGCGCATGCACAATACCCCCCCCCCATTCACTCCACAAGCCAGTCAAGTAGGTGAACTCTGAATAATGCGAGGGGCAGGTGATCGCAGAAGATTTCAAAGACAGCGTGCGGAAAATGGCAGAGGGAGAGCGAGAGAGGTTGTTGTGTGCACATGTGTCTGTGTGCGCGTGGGCTCGTGTCTGTGCATATGTGTTTGTGTGTGTGCGCATAGGGGCCGAACTCTGTGTGCACAATACAGAGAGCAGACGAGAATTGTAAATGCGCTATTATGTAGAGACAGAAATGACATGATGTCTATAAACAATATAAATCATCCTGTGTGCCGCATAATCGTTTGCATAAACGTGATTTCAATTTTGATCAAAATAATTGTGATTATGATTTTTTCCACAATCAAGCAGCCCCAGTACACAGCCCACAGGACAAACCTCAAAGTGCGTCACCATGGCGTCCATCAACTCTTCACAAAATGGAGGGTTGGCTTCAAACGAGCCACTGACGGGACAGAAAGACAAGAAGGGCCTGAAAACACACGCACGCACGCACGCACGCACACACACACACACACACAGGGTTATTAATAATACATACAGGTAAATATTATGGACATGATTTTTAATGTGACAGCAACATACAGACTGTTTAACCTCAGACAAAGACAGAAAGACAGACGGACAAAGAGACAGACGAACAAAGAGACAGACACAGAGAGACAGAAAGACACAGACAGTATGGAGGTGTCTCACCCTCTGGATCCAAAGAAGCCGTCGATGTCGGGGAAGGCAGAGCAGAACTGTTTGAAGTAGCAGTTGAGCGGCGAGGCGAAACACTCGAAGGAAACTCCAAACTGTCGGATCAAGGCCTCGAACACTGACACCGGCAGCGCCCCCTGCAGACCCGTCCCCTCATTGGCTCCGCTGCCAAACATCACCTGGACACATGCACACACCTGGTTAACTCAGCAGTTACCTGAGTGGTCCTGAAACACAGACTGTCAGGTGTGATCAGGTGAGTCCTGATTGGATGACAGAAAGTCAGCTGACCTGGTATCTCTTGAGGAGGCACCAGACTCTGGACAGGAACTTCTCAAAGCGAGGGTCGTCTATACAGCTGTACCTGTACAGCAGCTCCTGGACACACAGACAGAGAGGATCATGGGACAAGTCCTGGAGCTCCACGCCCCTCTGGTAGCGAATATCATCCTGATTAAGTATTCACACTCCTGTCTTATGTACAGAATCGTACATGGACTTGCTCCTCCTGTATTGAGCCAGTTTATAAAAATGGCATCAACATCCACACGGAGTGCAGCTAGAGGAGACGGTGTGGTCCCGTTTAGATAAAGTGCTTTTAGCCAGTCTGCATTTTCAATCAGGGCTGCTCATGAGTGGAATTCCATCCCAACTCACATTAGAAATCTATCAAATTATGCTTCTTTTAAACTTTTTTTTTAAAAAGTGGTTGATTAGTGGTCAAAACTGTCAACATTAAATTTTAGTGCTTAAAGTTCCTCCATGTTTGCTGCTCTGTCTGCAGCTGCTTTTTGATGCCATGTGTTATGTCATGTTGTCTTTCAGTTTACTAACTGTCTTGCATCATTATTGCTTTTTGTGCATGGCTTTTTATAATGTGTTGATTGTCTATGTCCTGCTTGCTTGTGGCCTGTTAGTTTGTTAATGTGTTTTATGTAATCAATTGCTGATGTTGGTGCTGCTACTCAGTGTTGTTTTTGTCTGTTGCAACTGTCTGCTGTTTGAGCTGAGTCTCCGTTAGCATGCATGTGTATGTATGAAGTTTGACATTGTTCTCTGTCTTTTAATCTTTACTCAGATTTAGTCTTCTTATTCTTTAATGTATTAATTCCATGCTTATAACTAAATCTTTTATATTCTCTTAGGGTGACTATTCAACATCAGTCCAAGACAGAAGATGTAAAATAGCCTTTTGGCTAATTCTTTTTTAAAATGTTTTATTAATGTGCGTTGTCCCTGATCACTAAACTTTTAATTTAAAAAAAAAATCACCACCATCATCACCATTATCATTATCATCATCATCACCATCATTATCATCAAAATCACCATCACCCTCATCACCATTATCGTAATCATCATCATCACCATCACCATCAAAATCACCACCATCACCATCATCATCACCATCAAAATCACCACCATCATCATCACCCTCATCAAAATCACCATCATCTTTACCATCATCAAAATCACCATAATCGAAATCACCATCTCCACCATCATCACCATCACCCTCATCAAAATCACCACCATCACCATCATCACCCTCATCAAAATCACCATCAAAATCACCACCATCACCATCATCATCACCATCATCATCACCCTCATCAAAATCACCATCACCACCATCATCACCATCACCCTCATCAAAATCACCATCACCATCACCCTCATCAAAATCACCATCATCAAAATCACCATAATCGAAATCACCATCACCACCATCATCACCATCAAAATCACCATCACCATCATCACCACCCTCATCAAAATCACCATAATCGAAATCACCATCACCATCATTACCATCACCACCACCACCATCATTATCACCATCATCATCACCATCATCATCACCATCATCATCACCACCATCATCACCACCACCATCATCACCATCACCACCACCATCATCACCACCATCATCATCATCATCACCACCACCACCATCACCACCCTCATCAAAATCACCGTAATCGAAATCACCATCACCATCATTACCATCACCACCATCATCACCACCATCATCATCATCATCACCACCACCATCATCACCATCATCATCACCCTCATCAAAATCACCATCATCACCATCATCGTTATCATCATCACCACCATCAAAATCACCATCACCATCATCAAAATCACCATCATCAAAATCACCATAATCGATATCACCATCATCACCATCAAAATCACCATCATCACCACCATCAAAATCACCATCATCACCACCATCAAAATCACCATCATCATCATCACCATCAAAATCACCATCATCACCACCATCAAAATCACCATCATCATCATCACCATCAAAATCACCATCATCAAAATCACCACCATCAAAATCACCATCACCATCATCAAAATCACCACCATCATCACCATCAACATCATCACCCTCATCAAAATCACCATCACCATCACAATCAAAATCACCATCACCACCCTCATCAAAATCAGCATAATCGAAATCACCATCACTACCATCACCACCATCACCACCATCATCATCAACATCATTATCACCATCATCATCACCACCATCATCACCATCATCATCATCACCATCATTATCACCATCATCATCATCACCATCACTACCATCACCACCATCATCATCACCATCATTATCACCACCATCATCACCACCACCACCACCATCACCACTATCATCATCACTACCATCATCACCATCATCAAAATCACCATCATCACCACCATCAAAATCACCATCATCATCATCACCATCAAAATCACCATCATCACCACCATCAAAATCACCATCACCATCATCACCACCACCATCAAAATCACCATCATCACCACCATGAAAATCACCATCATCATCAAAATCACCATCATCATCATCACCACCACCATCAAAATCACCATCACCATCATCACCACCATCAAAATCATCATCATCATCAAAATCACCACCATCATCACCATCAACATCATCACCCTCATCAAAATCACCATCACCATCACAATCACCATCACCACCCTCATCAAAATCACCATAATCAAAATCACCATCACTACCATCACCACCACCATCATCATTATCACCATCATCATCATCATCGTCATCACCATCATCATCACCACCACCACCATCATCATCATCATCACCACCACCACCACCACCATCATCATCACCATCATTATCATCACCACCATCACATCACCACCATCATCATCAAAATCACCATCATCACCACCATCACCATCATCACCATCATCACCACTATCATCATCACCACCATCATCACCATCATCACCATCATCACCACCACCATCAAAATCACCATCATCAAAATCACCATAATCGATATCACCATCATCACCACCATCAAAATCACCATCATCACCACCATCAAAATCACCATCACCATCATCATCAAAATCACCATCATCACCATCACCATCAAAATCACCGTCATCATCATCACCCTCATCAAAATCACCATCATCAAAATCACCATAATCGAAATAACCATCACCACCATCACCATCATCACCACCACCATCATGGCCATCATCATCACCACCACCATCACCGTCATCACCACCATCAACACCACCATCATCATCATCATCATCACCACCATCACCACCACCACCACCACCACCATCATCATCACCATCACCACCAGTCATCATCACCGTCACCACCATCATCATCGCCACCATCACCATCACCACCACCATCATCATCACCATCACCACCGCCATCATCATCACCACCATCATCATCACCATCAGCATCATCACCATCAGTCATCATCACCGTCACCATCACCATCATCACCACCACCATCACCATCATCACCATCCCCGTCATCATCACCATCATCATCACCACCATCATCACCATTATCGTTATCATCACCATCATCACCATTATCGTTATCATCACCATCATCATCATCATCACCACCACTATCATCATCATCACTATCACCACCATCATCACCACCATTATCATCATCATCATCCTCATCACCATCTCGTTTTTTCCTGTCTGACTCTCATTAACATACTGACAGCTTGTGTCAGGTGACCTCAACACTTCCCGTACAAAGTTAACTCAGTGTTCAGAGTGCAACCTTTCTGTTGCCATGGTAACATTAGTAGTACTGTTGTGAGTACTGACCAGTTTGCTGAAGTGACCTCTGTTGACCTTGACCATCTCTCCTCTGAAGCGCAGACAGGCCATGTCGTTCTCAAAGTGCAGCTCCACTCGAGGGAGCGGCGGCGAGGGGAGCGCCAGACGCACCGGGTAACAGTAGACCAGCCGTGACTGCTGGGGGGACGCGCACGCCTCTGAACACACACACAACAACACAAAAAGGACACACATTAATAACACACACACAGTTCACTATGCTCCCTGTTGGTGTGTGTGTGTGTGTGTGTGCACGCGCACGCACCTGTGGGGGGGTCCTGCATCAGGCTCAGGTGTGTGTGTCTCAGGCGGCGGCTGTACTCTGCAGACAGCTGGTAGATTTTGGAGCAGATTCCTTCCACAGAGTCTTTGGCGACGGCGGTGACATGAGGACCACACTGCTGTCTGAGGTGCTCCAACCGGTCCTACACACACACACACACACACACAGTGGATATATATATGAGTGATGTCATGAGACCACACAGAGGTCATTAGATGATTATTTTTTATGAAGGGAAGTGGACAGGTAAGCTGCACAGTAACTCACCTGTCCATACTGTGGAATAAGACTGACACCATGTCTAATATTCACAATCAGTAAGGATCAATAAGGATCAATGAGAATCAATAAGGATCAATGAGGATCAATAAGGATCAATGAGGATCAGTGAGGAACAATGAGGATCAATGAGGATCAATGAGGAACAATGAGGATCAGTGAGGATCAATAAGGATCAGTGAGGATCAATAAGGACCAATGAGGATTAATAAGGATCAATGAAGATCAATGAGAATCAATAAGGATCAATGAGGTTCAATGAGGATCAATGAGAATCAATGAGGATCAATAAGGACCAATGAGGATCAATAAGGATCAATGAGGATCAATAAGGACCAATGAGGATCAAAAAGGACAAATGAGGATCAATGAGGATCAATAAGGACCAATGAGGATCAATGAGGATCAATGAGGATCAATAAGGACCAATGAGGATCAATAAGGATCAATAAGGACCAATGAGGATCAATAAGGATCAATAAGGACCAATGAGGATCAATAAGGACCAATGAGGATCAATAAGGATCAATAAGGACCAATGAGGATCAATGAGGATCAATAAGGACCAATGAGGATCAATAAGGATCAATGAGGATCAATAAGGACCAATGAGGATCAATAAGGATCAATGAGGATCAAAAAGGACAAATGAGGATCAGTGAGGATCAATGAGGATCAATAAGGATCAATGAGGATCAATAAGGACCAGTGAGGATCAATAAGGATTAATGAGGATTAATAAGAATCAATGAGGATCAATAAGGACCAATGAGGATCAATAAGGACCAATGAGGATCAATAAGAATCAATAAGGACAAATGAGGATCAATGAGGATCAATTACGTCCTTGGCACGTGTCTTACAGCGATCACTACCAGTCAGCATGGCAGCCAACACTGACACCGCTGTGGCTTTGGTGGCAAAGAAAAACGCCACATGTCCAATTTGGGAGTTTTCTGAGTTTATCCCAGATGCCAGAGGTGAGCCGAAGGAAGGACACAACAACACAGTAGGAACTTAGATGCAATAGGCTAAAAGATACAGGCATTAGCCTACCACCACGTTTTTATATTTTTTGTGTTATAAAGACATTATTTAAATATTTTGCATCACATGCAAAAGTGAGCGTCTCCGGCTTTGCTCCTCACTTCAAGTCGCTGTCATTAACTTTTAACCTGCAAAGGCGGCAGTGCTGCAACATTGTAGGAATTTATAAAAGCCCTTATGAACATTTCAACAGTTACACATTAAAACAATATTTATTTGCAATTACTCTGTTGAACAACTCCGAAGCATGAGCAAACAGGCTGTGTCACTTTGGATCAAAGAGATGCGCCCTGTCACTGTCACTGACAGGGCTGAGAGAGAGGTTTGGTTTTCAAGTCCCTTTATTAAATCATTTCAGCAATGACTGAAAACCATTTAAATCAAATCAAGAAAAATAAGAAACAAAACCAGAGAAAAAATGCTACTGAATAAAACAGTCTGCCAGACACAGTAAATGTTAAACAACTACTCAGAAATGACATACCAGCTCTCCATTCCCTGTCACAGAGCACAGGACACCCCCAACAGTCCATCTTTCTTTAAAGTCCTGTAAATTGTCCACAGATTGACAGTAACAATATTCCACTCTGAGCCGGGATTTCAAAAGTCCTTCTAAGACCGGCACCGGCTCCACACTGCCGGCACCCTGAGTCCGGTTCCTGCGAGTCAGCCAAAAATGAACAGTGGAAAGGAAAAGGCCTCCCCCAGACCATGCAACCAACTCCTTAAAAGGTCAAAGAGCTGTGACAGCTGAGGACACTCAACAAACAAATGAAAAAGAGTCTCTGTGTGCAAACAGAAACTACACCCCTCCCCTAGCTCCGGATCAAGGTGTGCTCTGTATCTGTTCGTAGCTATTGCCCCATGTACGACCCTCCACTGGAGGTCAGCTGTACGCTTCTCCAAGGGGATCTTGTACAGGGACCGCCAGCTGCCTTTCGGGGAAATGTCTGGGCCAAAGAACTCAGCCCACCTCGACTCCTTCAGCCCCGCCAGAGAGCGCAGGTTCAGAACCTTAACGCAGACTTCGTAGACTGCCTTTTTTCCCACCACCTCAAAGCTGTTTAGACGAGGGGTTTGAAAGGAAAGCAGCTGACCCTCACCCTCTTGCCACTCCCCCACAGCTGGGGTTATGGAGAGAGAGAGCAAACTGTACTCACACTCATCATCCCATTGGTCAGACAGAGCACTGTTTTCTACAAACAGTCTCAGTGGCTGTGGCAGGGCTGCACAGACTTCCTCCACCACTCTGTTGATGAGCCTGACAGAGCTGATGTTGCTTCTCTCCATCAGGGCTTCCATAGCTGTGGACGTCATCTTCATAAGGTGACCCAGTTTGGTGCAGCCAGCTTTTCGAAGACTGGCTCTCAGGCTGGCAGACTGCAGTGTACGGGTCTTAATAAAGGTGTTGTAGAACAATGGCTCTTCAAAAAGCCACATGCCCGGGGGCACATTTGTGTCCCGTGCAGTCTTAAAAATCCGCCAAGCCTGCAACACAGAGCTGTAAAATGGTGTTACATCTGTAAAGTCCACGGTCTCTTGCTCCAGGAGGAAAAGCTGCTTGTCGTAGCCCAACTGTCCTGTTCTCCTCAGCAGCAGGCGAGCCGTATCACACCAGCTGGGGCAACAGTCATACAGCAGCCTCTGAGCAGTTCTCAGTCTAAAGGAAGCAATTTTGGACTGAATGTCATTCAGTCCCTGTCCCCCTTCAGCCACAGGCAGGTGAAGAACAGCTGACCGGATCCAGTGCTTGCCCGACCAGAAGAAGTTGAGGATGTCCTTCTGGATGTCCTCTATCAGACCCCTTGGAGGTGTCAGAGTAACAAGTCTGTGCCACAGAGTCGAGGCGACCAAGTTATTAGCGACCAGAACTCTTCCCCTATACGACAGCTGAGGTAGCAACCATTTCCACTTAGACAACCGAGCACACACTTTCTCCTTCACTCCCTCCCAGTTTTTTCTTTGGAACCCTTCAGAGCCCAGAAACACCCCCAAAACTTTTAGTCCCTCTTTTCCCCACCTAAGTCCTCCAGGCAGACTGGGCACTGCCTGATCCCTCCACTGCCCTATGAGCAAGGCCTCGCTCTTAGCCCAGTTCACTCTTGCAGATGAGGCCTCTTCATAGGCACAAAGGGTGTCCTGCAGACATTTAACATCATCCTGGCTGCTTACAAAAACATTGACATCGTCTGCATAAGCAGATACAGTGGGCAAACCACGAGGTACACTTACGGTTCCAGGGAAAGACAGACCAATGAGGCGCTCTCTCAGCCTGCACAGCAAGGGCTCAATGGCTAGGCTATACAGTTGCCCTGAAATAGGGCAACCCTGTCTTATGCCTCGCTGTACAGGAATTGGCCGACTCAGCCCCGCCCACATCTTCACCATACACTGTGCTCCACTGTACAGTAAACTCACCCAAGACAAAATCCCATCACCGAACCCAACACCTCTAAGTGCAGCAAAGAGATATGAGTGATCCACCCTATCAAAAGCCTTCTCTTGATCCAGTGACACAATCCCAACATTGACATTATAAATTTTACATAAATCAAGTACATCCCTGATGAGAAAAATATTGTCCATGATTGATCTCTCTGGCATACAGTATGATTGGTCTGTACTTACAATTTTTCCCAGAAAGTCTTTTAGTCTATTAGATAAGGCTCTGGAAAGCACCTTATAGTCCGTACAGAGGAGGGCCACTGGCCTCCAGTTCTTAAGTAATGTCAGGTCCCCCTTCTTAGGCAGCAGGGAAAGGACTGCCCGCTGGCAAGAAACCGGAAGAGATCCAGTTCTGAAACATTCCTGTACTACCTCGTGTAGGTCGGTGCCAATAATGTTCCAGAACCGCTTATAGAAGTCAGTGGAGAGACCGTCAATCCCTGGTGCCCGTCCAGAAGGCATCTGGTTAATGGCCATTGTCAACTCTTCGAGAGTTAGCCCACAGTCCAGGGCAGCTCTCTCCTCCGAACTGAGCTGAGGAAGGCTCTCCAGAAGCTCTTTGCGGTTCTCAGCGCTACACGGTTCAGCTTTAAATAGGCTGGTGTAAAAGTCAATTGCGTGAGCCCTCATTTCATTCTGATCCGCAGTCAGTCTCCCTCCAGGGAGCTTCAGACAGGCCATCTGCTTCCTCTGCACCGCGTTCCGCTCCAAGTTGAAGAAGAAGGAGCTCGGGGCATCCATGTCCTTCAACTGGAGGAAACGTGATCGGACCAAAGCTCCCTTCACCCTCTCTTGCAGAAAAGCGCTCAGTTCCTTCTTCTTCTGCTGCAGCAGGTCACTAGCAGTGGGATCGGAGTCTCTCCTGATCCCCTTCTCGATGGTACTGATGCTGGCTTCAAGGTTTTGTACTGCTGCCTTGATTTCAGCAGTAGAGTGTGACGTGTACTGCTGACTGAACACACGAGTTTGAGCTTTGCCAACCTCCCACCATTGCTTTAAAGAACTAAAGCTGCTTTTCTTTGTCTGCCAGTGTCTCCAGAAATTCCCAAAGCTCTGACAAAAAGTGCTGTCTTGTAAGAGTTTATTGTTGAAGTGCCAGTAAGATTTGGCCCTCTCACCTGGTGAAATTGTCAAGTTTATACTGACTAGGTGGTGGTCAGTGAAACCAACCGGGGTTATGGTACTGCTGACTAATCTGGTGTTGAGATTTTGTGAGATGTAAAACCTAAATCTAGTCTGGCTGCACTGACCCTGTTGTTTCTGATCCGTATCCATGTGTACTGACGGGTGTGTGGGTGTCTGAGTCTCCAGGTATCAAACAGATCTAAGTCAGTAATAGTTTGTTTTAAACACTGGGAGGATTGTGGGTGTGGCTCTTCATTGGTTCTGTCCTGAGTGAAGTCAACTGTACAGTTGAAATCACCGCCAAGAATGATGTGGTCCTGACTGTAGTTCCTGAGTTCAGACTGTATTTTTGTAAAAAGCCCCACTCTGTCAGAGCCCTGGTTGGGAGCATAAATATTAACAATACACAATACTGAGCCGTTCATCTCTGCCCTGACAATCAGCAGCCGACCCTTAACCACCTCGCTAACAGAGAGCATGACTGCATTGGCAGTTGCTCTGCAGAGGATGGCTACCCCTGCACTGACACTTGTGCCATGACTCAGGACGTGTGGACCCTCCCACCATAAACCCCAGTCTACCTCATCTGCCTGGTCACTATGAGTTTCCTGTAAGAACAGCACATCTATCTTTTTTTGTGAAACAATCTCACTGACTAGGGCTCTTTTATGTTTATCTCTCCCACCATTAATGTTAATAGACCCTATAGTGCTGCTCTGCATATGAGGGTTAAAGAAGAGAGACAGAAAAGAGGAAAGCAGTAAAGAACCGTGTATGAAACAGAACACCAGGTGATACATGATCATCTTACCTAACTTTAATCTTTCTAACAGTTTTGCCTTTAGATACCTTTCTCAGTGTTGTGATATGTTTCTTGAGGCGAAAACGCTTCCTTTCATCCAATAAGTCCACACCAACAGATCTCTTCAGCATTCCCACTGATCTGATGAACTTTTCGGTGTCACTAAAATAATTATTAACTTTCACAGATCTGTGAAAAGTTTGGTCTAGAAAAGTGTTTATTTCCTCAAGGGAATATAGATCTGTGTTCCTGTTGGACACCTCACTGACTGACACAGTATCTGACTCTGAGTCCCATTCTGCATCCTCTCCTCTACCTGATGCCTGGCTGCTGAAAACAGCCTCCATAATCTGTTCACTGTCACAGCCTCACCTCCACCTGCAGAAACTGTTGAAGGGGCCTCCTCCACAGTCTCCTCAGGCTGCGGACTGTCAGCGCTGCTCAGGCTGACTGCAGCCTCACCTGACACGGGACCATTCAATGAATCACCCGCCGACTCAGCCATCGGGCCAGCCGAGGGCCCCGCGGGAACCACAGCAGACCCGGTCACAGAGCCGACCATGGACACGGCGGCGGAGCCGGCCGCGGAACCGGTCACAGGCGAATCCCCGGAGCCCGCCGCAGCACCGGCCGTGGAGCCGGCCACGGGCGCATCCCCGGATTCCGCCACGGCGCCGGCCATGGAGCCAGGCACCGGCGCAGCCACGGAGCCGGCCCCAACAGCGGCACCAGCGACCGCATCAAGCTGCTGTTTATGCGGACACGCAAACCGTTTGTGCCCCACATCCCCACACTCAAAACATTTCATTTGGCCGGAGCTGGCATAAACCATGTGAGAAGCTTCGCCATGCTTAAGTCTAAAAGACACCTCCAGTGTCTGTGCAGGTGAGTCCAAAAACATGAACACCTGTCTCCTCAGAGACTGCACATGCTTCAGTTTAGCGTCTTTACAGCCCAAGTTGATCACTCTAAATCCACTAGCAAACTTCCCAAATCTGCGGAGCTCATGCTCTAACAGCTTGTTTGGGATGAAAGGCGGAACACCGGAGACGGTGATCCGCATAGACGGAGCTGACAGCGGCAACACCTGCACGAAGGTGTCCCTAACGAAAACTCCGCTCTCCACCAGGCTGTGAACACACTGCTCCGTTCTTAAAAATACAACGACAGCTTTGTTCATTCTGGAAGCAAAGCTGATGGTGTCATGTCCTACCTGTTCACCTACAGCCAGCAGAACTTCCTCCACAGTAACACTATTATCCGGCGGGACTACCCTCACTCCCTGCCGAATAGACGGAGGTGGCGTCTCGGCGGACGCCATTCCTCCCGAAAACCACCACACAAAACCACTAAACACTCGTCAGACACTCAGCAAAAGAATCTGAAAAACAGCATACCTGATCATGTACAAGAGACAGATGGAAAACCAAGATTAAAGTCCAAAAGCAGGGACAGCAAACCATTCAAAACTCCGCGCCACTCGCACACCACCACCACTCACGCTCACACTCACCGGAACCGGAAAGGAGAGGAGAGAGAGAGAGAGGAGAGAGAAGAGAGAGAAGAGAGGAGAGAGAAGAGAGAGAAGAGAGGAGAGAGAAGAGGGAGAAGAGAGAGGGGAGAGGAGAGGAGAGAGATGAGAGAGAAGAGAGAGGAGAGGAGAGAGGAGGAGAGAGGAGAGAGAGAGAGAGGAGGATTGAAATTGAAATTGAGAGGAGAGAGCGAGAGAAGAGAGAGGAGAGAGGAGGAGAGAGGAGAGAGAGAGAGGAGAGGGGAGAGAGAGAGGAGAGGAGAAAGGAGAGAGAGAAGAGAGAGAGGAGATGGATTGTAGGTCTGTTTGTAAACGGGGCTTCTCTGACAGTCATGTATTTCCCCAAAAAACATCTCTTAATGCACCGTTTTTTTTTTTTTTTCAAAATTGCCTTGATATCCAGCAAATCGCCTGAAAACCCTCCAATCGCCAATATACGATTTGATCGCTGATCGTCACAGGCCTAGTTTCAATAGGGGTATTTTTGGGTGAATGGCGGTGAGAGCGGCCACAGTAAAGACATGAGAATATCCTGCAGGTCAAAGCATCACTCTTCTGTTCTGAGGTGAACTTATTTCAGAGGATTACCTGGTGGTATAATGTACAATCGGCGCAGTCAGCTGTTTGAGAGCAGCGCAGCTCATCAGATCAGATCTGTTCACATTATTGTGGCGCAGTGTGCGGTGACACACAGATAATATGGATAACTGTGAAATGACAGAGTGAATTCTGTGTGTGAGTCTGTGTTCATACTGTTAACGATCATTTAGAACAGCTGTTGTCTTTACTCGATTACTCCACTTACTCTTAAATATGATCCAGAAATATATTCTCCCTAATGTCACGTGACTCTGACAATACTGACACGTGTGTTTAAAACTGTCCAACAACATTACAGAGTGCTAAACTGATCACAGTAACTGAAACCTCCTCAGACTTCTGAGGGTTAATGATGATCACATGAGGACACTCATTAGTCTGTTCCAATGTGTGTTCACTGAATGAGAGGGAGAACTCTTGCCTTGCCTCTTAGGAGGACCCGTCCTCCCAAGGAAGGCTCCTTGACTTTGAGAAACACCCCCAGTCCACACATTCTAACCTCCACAAGACGGCCATGAGATCGCTAGGTTAGGTATGGATTTAATCTGCAGATGCGCCGGTTCACAGTGAGACCCAACCTTTCACTGTACGTCAGTTTTCCAGCTGCAGCGAAGGACGGAATATTTCCTGGAACAGACAGCGGTGACGACTACCAGAAAACCTGAGGCATGGGCAGCTTCAGAGGAGCGAGGAGTCCGCAATGAATAAAGCAGGGTGTTAATGACTGAGAACCACTGCTGCAGGAACCGAGATACCTGACCTGACCCGGCTGGCGTGCTCACTTCGGTTCAATGCCACACGCTTCCCTGTGTTGTGGTGACTGTGGTGTTCAGAAAATGGTCTTCAGGCTCAGAACAGTCTTCCTGTTCATCTGTCCCATGTGAAGAACGTCCGTTTCTTCACCTCCATCAAAAACCAAACGAAGATGAATCTTTGCACCTGTGGTTAAAACCCTGTTTTACCTTCCCAGGTTAGAACACCTGATTCAACAGGGACAAAGACACCTGCACAGCGACACCCAGTGGACACACACGGTACTGGACTGCTCATGTCTACTGAGGCTCAGAACAGATTTGGATCATTAATGTGCGACACACACACACACACACACCTGCTGGAAACAATCATACATCATCAGTGAGGAAGAGGAGCGGTCATTCATTGACTTATAACCACTGTCTCCCCATGGCTTCCTCTGTCTCCACCCTCCACAGGTGGAGCTGATCATGAAGCGGGTGGGACTCTGAGCATCTCTGTGATGTCAGATGTTTATCAGATTTATGTTACGCCGTGTTTACTTGTCTCTTCCTGCGCAAAGACGTGATGACATCATGTGAGATGAAGGAGACGCTTCACTGCGACCGGTGAAAGACAACATGTGACACTTCCTGTTGACTGTTGTTGGAATGTTCTCCGTGTTCTGTGGCTGCGGTCCATGCTGTCATGGTTTTTACATGATTACATCATCCTTCACAATGCTGACATCATCAGCTCTGAAAACAGACCCACCTGACACTGTCAGTAAAATGTTGTCACCACATCAGGTGGACATTTTGTTACGTTTTCAATCAGGTGAAGAACGAATGTTACGACACATTCAGGAGATGATGACATCATCACTGGGAGCAACAGGCCAAGACAGGAGCACTGCAGCAGAGCGGCATCTGTGTCAACACCACAGGCACGTGAGCCACAGCACCTCACCGAGGTCAACGTCACACACAGGCAATGTCATCTACCTGTGTGTGACGGCTACCTCACAAGGTCATGAGGTCATAAGGTCAGTGTCAGAGGTTACCATATAGTCCTCCTTGCTGGCGGAGTGATCTCTGCGCAGCCAGCTCATGGTGTCCTCAGCGTTCCACTTCACCACCTTCCTGCTCTCTGGACTCGCATTCCTGCACAGGTCAGAGATCAAAGGTCAGAGGTTAGAGGTCAGAGGTCATTAGCAGGATGTGACTCTGACTGATCTGTTGTCTCACCTTGAGTCGATCATCTTCTTGGCAGCTTCAGCGTATTTGAACAGCAGCTTCCGAGCCTCCTCTTTGTACTTAATACGAGACAACCTGACACACACACACACACACACACACACAGGTATTGATACATAATCAATACATTGGTACAGACCCTGACAGAAGCTTTAACAGTCTCAGTACCTGATGGGAATGTCGTTCATGACCTCTCTGAACATGGACGGGGAGATAACTGGGTCACAGTCGCTGGGCAGTAAGGGGTCGTGACCTTTGTCAATCACTTTCCTCTCCAGCAGCCATCGGTTGAACGACTCCCGGGGCGGATCAATACCTGAACCACAGACAGACGGTCCATCAGATGGACATGGAGACAGACAGACGGACAGACAGCGGAGCGTCTGGCGGCAGGGGCCTCGTACCTTCTCTCTGGTGACACAGCTCGTGGTAGTGTTGTCTCAGTTTGGTGACCAGCTGCGCCCTCTGCAGCTCGATCTCTGGGTGGGGGGGCAGGTGGTTGGCGGGCGGCTGCTCTCTGATGACGGCGTTGGTCTGCACGTCCAGATCCCAGTAGATACTGAAAAGTACAACAACACGTCAAACCTCTGATACACCACTGACTGAGAAGCTAACTATGCTTAGGGGAGGGGTGGAGCCTCAGCACTCACACTGCTGGTCTGTATGGAGCAGGGGTGGGGCTCGGGGTTGTGGGCGTGGCCGGCGTGGCCTGTTTGTCCTCAGGGGCGGAGTTCCAGGGTTTGACCCCGGGGGTGCTGGGTGAGATGGGCGTAGTGGGCTCCACCTGGAAACAACAGACTCAGTTTCCCACAATCCACTGCACCTCTGTCACTGATACAGCTGATCACATGACCTTTCTTTTACCTTCACTCGTTTTACACTGTTAGGCCCCGCCCCCTGCTCCTCCGAGCTCCTCCTCTTCCTCTGACCATTATCAAGGTTACTGTCTCCACCCTCTGCTGGAGCCGCATTCAGTCCTAAAGGATCAGACTGTGGACAGACGGAGGGACAGACAGGCAGACAGACGGAGGGACAGACAGACAGGCAGACGGAGGGACAGACAGACAGACAGACGGAGGGACAGACAGACAGGCAGACGGAGGGACAGACAGACAGACGGAGGGACAGACAGACAGACAGACGGAGGGACAGACAGACAGGCAGATGGAGGGACAGACAGACAGACGGAGGGACAGACAGGCAGACAGACGGAGGGACAGAGAGACAGACGGAGGGACAGACAGACGGAGGGACAGACAGACAGACAGACAGACAGAGGGACAGACAGACAGAGGGACAGACAGACAGACGGAGGGACAGACAGACAGACAGACAGAGGGACAGACAGACAGACAGACAGACAGACAGACAGAGGGACAGACAGACAGAGGGACAGACAGACAGACGGAGGGACAGACAGACAGACAGAC